ACCGCAGAAGCGGTTCTCCAACCGCAGAAGTGGTATCGCGGATGCGATTTTTGGACCGCAGATGTGGGATTGCTGGGCAGAACATATAAATAGTTGCCTTCGCGATTTTGAGCTATTCTTTCACCATTTTCATCCGAGAAGTGAGCTTTTGGGGAGATTTTTGAGAGGGGATTCAAGAGAACTTCGAAGAGGTAAGATTCTTGGAACCTAAACTCGTTATTATAGTGATTTTTATCATCCTAAGCATGAAAAATTAAGGAAAATTAGTGGTAGTTTATGGGTTAGGGCTTGACTAATTAGAGGCCTTTGAGTGATGATTTGAGGGACCAATTGAGGTCCGATTTTGATACTTTTGGTATGACTGAACTCGTGAGAGTGTGAGGATTCTGGAAATGTAAATTTTACCCAATTCCGAGCCGTGGGCCGAGGGGCTTTTTGGTCATTTCACCTAATTTCGTGCATTAGCTTAGAATTTATTTGTAGAATTAGCTACTTGAAGTATTATTTATATTATGCAATTGAATTGAATAGATTTGGGCCATTTGGAGTCGAATACTCGTGGCAAGAACGTGGTTTCGGATTGATTTGAGCTGGTTCGAGGTAAATGGCTTGCCTAACCTTGTGTGGGGGACCTTTCCCCTTAGGATTGGTATATTTGTTAATTGAAATGCCTTGTACGTAAGGTGACGAGTGCGTACTTGTGCTAATTGTTAAAAAATCCGATTTCCATTAAGTACTTAGAATTGTGTTTTCCTCTCCTGTTTACATTACTCGCAAGTTAAGCCTGTTGTTAGCTTAGGGAAGCATGTCTAATTGATTTAACTGCTTATTTGTCCTACTGCCCTACTTGAATTATGTGCAACATGCTAGGTTTGTAATACCTGCTTTACCTTGGTGTGAAATTTGATTGAGTTGAGTTCTCGTTGGTACTGTGTATTTACTTTGGGACTACGGAATTGCATTCCGGGAGATCCCCCTGCACTTTTACATTGGAACTACGGGATTGCACCCGGTAGATTCCCCCAGTATTGAGTATTTATATTTGGGACTACGGATGTGGTATTCCGGTAGATCTCCGTGTATTTATGAGTTGGACTACGGGACTGCACCCGGAAGATCCACTGGATATTTATATTTGGGGACTACAGGACGGTATCCTGGGAGATCCCACGACTGTTACTTCTGCGTTGAGCTGTATTTGTTTACCGTGATTTCTTGTTTTCTGTTTCAGTTGTCGTTATCCTTTATGTCCTGTGTTACTCTTACTGCTGTACTCATTTATACTTCTCTGTTCTACACTGTCGGACTTTATATTTTATTTAATCTCAGTAGGGCCCTGACCTTCCTCGTCACTACTCGACCGAGGTTAGGCTTGGCACTTACTGAGTACCGCTGTGGTGTACTCATACCCTTCCTGCGCATGTTTTTCATGTGCAGATCCAGGTACCTCTGCTCAGACTTACCATCCTTGAGGCGAGGCGATCTTTCGGAGACTTCGAGGTATATCTGCCGCGTCCGCAGACCGAAGAATCTCTCTGTATTCTCTCCTGTGGTTACAACCCTTCTGTATTTACTTTGTTTTAGACATTCTGGAGTTAGAGCACTATGTAGTATTCTTAGCTTGTGATTCATGGGTTTCTGGGTTTTGGGAGACTTGTATTGGTTTTGAGAGAAATGTTGTGTATGCCGAGCGGCACGTTTAAACGTTGTTTCATTACACTATTCTGTTTTACTTGTTTTCTTCCGCAATTTGGTTTATTTTCCGCATTTTAGGCTTACCTAGTCGTAGGGAGTATGTGCCGTCACAGTGGTTCACGGAGGAGCGAACCGGGGTCGTGAGACATAACTAATCTCAAAATAACTCAACCTTGCGTAACTTTTCCCTGCATAACTAATCCCTGCATTACTTATTCCTGCATAACTAATACATACATAACTAATACCTGCATAATTAATACATGTAAAACTAATACCTGCAAAACTCTAACCGGCAACCAAATGACCCCTTAGGGTTTGCTAGGGATATGTCTTCTATAAATAGAAAAAGAGATAAGGTGATAGGAAAGGTAATATTCACTTGATAAAAATATTTTTCAGAAGAAGAATCTCTCTCCAGCAAAGATACAAACTTTACCTTTTCATCAATATTCTTATTCACATTATTCCATACTTTTCTATCAGATCCAAGAATAGTTCAAACATTCTAGGATTTGTCTGTCACTCATCATTGTCAGGAGGAACAATCATCTATCTCATTCATTATTGGGTGAATCGTTCTCCCTATTTACTTAAATGTCATTTATTGTTATTTATTGCTAGTTATTCCTCCATTATTGCCCATACCTTTTGGAATATTAAATGTGTATTACTTTCAATCTCCCTCTGACTTTATCCTATGTTGTTCGTGTTGTCAAGTTCTATATCTAGAGATATTATCATTAACTAAGTTTAACCCCTCCAGGCGTCTGACTACACGGGGATGGAGAACTTTGCCCTTCAAAAAGTCCCACATGTCGTCCACTCTCCTGACGCAGAGAGTCTGGGCCAGTAACTCTCCCTCCCATATGTGGCTGGACCTATGATCTCCCTCTAACGACAGTAGCTCATCGCTAGAAGGTCCGGGATGAATAGGCGGCACCTCCATGTCGTCTACTGTAAATTAAACAACATTAATTACATGTTAGTTTTTTAATTTTATATGTTTGTTTGTAAATTAAATAATTAGTTTTGTATAATTATATAATATTTAATTATTAATATATTCACATATGGATTCCAGGATTGATATTTGAGGCCCTGTAGCAGCAACATATCCTGAATTCTTGTATGTTTCTTATTTTACATGTTAGTTTTATAATTTTATATGTTTTTTTGTAAATTAAATAAGCAAAATCTTTATAATTATACAATATTTTGATTATTAAGTATTCACATATGGGTTCCACAATCGATATTTGGGGCTTAGTAGCACCAAGATATCCTGAATTCTTGTATGTGTTAGTTTTATTATTTTACATGTTAGTTTTATAATTTTATATGTTTGTTTGTAAATTAAATAATTAATTTTTATTATTATACAATATTTAATTATTAAATATTCTCATATGGGTTCCAGACTTGATATTTGCGGGCCAGTAGCACCAATATATCCGAAAAATATTATTCTTTTCTCATGTTATTTTGTTACGATCGTTGACTATAATTGGACAGAGTTTGTGTTTGATCTATCAGTTATTTTGACGTATTTTTGAGTATATGAGATACTTAAACTACAGGGATACTACGCTAAAAGGCACTACATTTTACTACGCTAAAAGGCACTACATTTTACTACCCTAAAAGGGCACCATATTACTAGTCTTTAAGCAAATAAATAATATAAACCGGATAAAAATAACAAATACATTTTAATCACAGAACATTCACGAAAAATACATATACAACAGTAAAAAGAAACTTATTAACATTTTTTTTAACAAATAATAATGATTTCTCAATTGAAACTTATTTTTTAGCACACCATTATCTAAGTTCGGATAAAAATAACATACCAGTTTAATCGCAAAAAAAAAAAAAAAAAAAAAAAAACATAGGAACACATGTAAAACAACTAATATGTATTTTTATTACGAGATTCGATAAAACTAAATACGGAATAACCTCGATTTATGTTTTTGGTAAAGTTAGAGAAATGAAGATTTAGTCTGAAACGAGCAACCACAACGAGAGAAGGCCTTAGCTAGGATGTGGGACCAACACTCTTTACTTTTTATGGGACGGTGGGGTCCACTCGTATTTTTCATCTCGTTAATGGGGGAGGGGGAAGGGGGACCGCTGGTTCGAATTTTAAAAGGAGGGGGGGGGGATAGATTCCGGTTTGAACGTGGGGGAAAGGAAGGGGACGGGTATTTGAAGATGAAAAGCGTGGTTTATTAAAGCGTTTTATATATAGCGCTTTAACAAACCACGTTTTAGATGAACGTCTTATCAGCTTCAGGTAAAGCGCATTTCATAACAGCGTTTTAATAAAATGTGGTTTTAAAACGCGCTTTACCTTAACGTCCAAACGTTAAAGTAAAGCGCGCTTTAAAACCGCGTTTTATATAGTTTGATCACTAAGTTTTTTCTTCACTTATTTCTGTCTCTTGAATTCAAAAAGATCACATTTAGATTCCGGACTCTTTGAAATTGAGTTAGACCCAGAATAATCCTTATTATTGCGCTCCCATGTTCCGCATGTAAAGATATGTTATATCTTCCCACATTGTTTGAGGAAATAAATTATTCTCTCAATTGGGCAATTTTCACATGATTGTTTTAGCTTTTAGAATGGAGTTAGACCCAATATCGATTTACTTTTAACACTAATTATCTCTTATTTTTCTTGCTTTTATTTATGATACCATCTTCAATGAAGGACTCAAAGTCAAATCTTCAAGTAAAATGTCATGCTAGTGCCCATCAATTATAATTCTGTTCTCATAATGGCATGTTCTCCGCTTTATACGTCCTATTATTCTTTTGATCTTTCATTACCCATCCTTCCCTTTCCCTGTCCTAGTCACCCAGCGATTCATTTTTTTAAAAATGAAGAAATTCATATAACAACAAAAAGTATGCAGTCATCAAAATCATCTAGCAATATTATAGCTAATTCCTATCCACCATGAAATTAAATACTGTAGATGGTATGGTAGAGTTACTCAAAGCGATGAGTTTGGTAGTTTGGTAGTTTGGGTGGGACAATTTGTGGGGAAAAAAACTACGACATGAGCCTTGCCTAACTTGGCTATGATTAGATGATGAAACAGAGCTCATATTTCAACCTTTTTTCCTTCTTTAACCCTTTATTTTTTTATTTGTGGCCCTAATTTGAATTAAGTATACTGCTCTGTTTGGCAAGGAGTTGGGGGGAAAGTAAAGGCTAAGAAAGAAAAGAAGGGAAGATCACACTTTGTGACCCATTTCAAAACAAAGCAAAATGATTGTTATAAAAATGCACCATATAACATATGGTAAAGATGGAAGCAATAAACAAAAAAGTAACAAAAGAAAGCTAGCTGTCCACTGCCTTTGCCTTTACTTTTCTTTTAAAACTCACTCTTCCAAACACAATTTCAATAGATATTAAACATCCTTAAGATTCATCAAATCTCAACATCTGAAATCAAAGAAGCTTAAAGAAGGGTCAAGAAGAAGAAAGAAAGTTATACTACAAATTAACACAATGAAAGGTAGAAAGTGTAAAGAAGTTCCTTCAACAGATCTATTAGTCTGTTTTCCTTCTAGAGCTCATCTAACACTTATGCCAAGTCCAGCAAGTCACCATCATCAACACCATTTAAAGAGATGTAGCACCAGAGGTATTGGGCCAGCAGCTGGCCAAGCAAGTCCTATGCTATGGGCCAAATCAAAGAGAAGTGAGATTTCAGAGCCAACTTCTCCAAAAGTTACATGTGCTGGGCAGATTAAAGTAAGGCGGCATAAACCCAAATCATGCAAGAATTGGCAGTCAGTTATGGAAGAGATTGAGAAGCTACATATCAAAAAACATAAACCTGCTTGGATTGATTCACTTGGAATTAAAAAGGATGTAATGCAATTCTTGACTTGTTTGCGTAATGTAAGGTTTGATTTTAGGTGCTTTGGTTCATTTTCTGCAGCAGCAACTGATATTATCACTTCTGATGATGAGGAAGAAGAAGATGAAGAGTTGCATGAAAATGATAATGAAGCTTTCTCCAGAACTGTATTCTCTAAGTGGTTCATGGTTTTGCAAGAAAACCAGAATACAGAGGAAACAGAGAAAAAAAAGGTTTATTATAATAGTAATAATGAAGCAGAGGCGGATCCAGGATTTAATGATCATGTTCCTTTATGTGCACCACCACCCAATGCACTTTTGCTCATGCGTTGTCGTTCTGCTCCTGCAAAAAGCTGGCTTGAGCAAAAACAAGAAGAAGAAAAAGAAGAAGAGCATGATTATGTAGAAGAAAAGAATGCAAAATCAGCAATGGAAGATTTAGAGAGTACTAAAAAGAAAAATAAGAACTTAGTGGTGATGAGATATGGGAGTGATTTCTACAAATTTTCATCAGATATAGCAAAGGAGACTTGGGTTGTGGGTGAAGTAAAAGGTCCATTATCAAGAAGTCTAAGTTCGAAGAGGTAATTAGTATCATGATCAAATACAAGGTCATTGCTCTTTGGCCAAATATTTCCCTTTGTTATGAACTTTGGTTAAGTTTCTTCAAATAGCATTTAAATTTTTTACATTTTCTGAATTATGCTTTGGTAATTTGAACTATGAAGAAGGGAGCTTTTGGTATTTGATCCTTCTCGGGGCTCACAAAGCTAGAATTGTACTTAGATGTATAGTACTTTCTTTCTTTTATCTCTTGTTGTTTAGTGAACCAATGTACAATCTTGGGATATATTCTTATGGAGATGATTTACATATTTTGTTGCTTTCTTTCTGTTTTAAGTTGTTCTTTCTACAAGAAGACTATCTTTAAGCTTTTGTTCTTTTAATTCTTTGGCTAATAAAAAAAAATTAACAGTTTGGTGTTTCAGGTTGATTTGCAGCTTCCGATACTAAGAGCCCGTTTTGACATAAATAGTTTTTTTTTTCCCCAAAAAAAGTTTCACTTTTTTTCGAAATCAGCATTTGTTCATAAAATTTTCAATTTTCACTTGAAGATGCATTTTGGAAATTTTCGAAAATTTGAAAAATCGAAAAGTTGTTTTTCAAAATTTTCACTCAAATCACTCACAAAACATCAAAAATAACCCAAACTGAAATTTATGTCCAAATACAAATCTAAATTTCAAATGTCATTTTCACTTGAAAAATATTTTCGCAATTTTTTGGAATTTTACAATTCTTATGTCCAAACGCCTACTAAGTGCACATAACCTTCTAAAGAAAGTGCACTAATGATGATAAATATTTTCTTGACATTTTTTATTAAGGTACTGTAAAATTTATGACATTTGACGAAAATGAAGAAATATATATTTAACTTTTGATTTGAATGTCACACACTATTAGGGCCTGATTGGCGATAAGAAATTTTTTCACTTTTTTCGGAATCATTTGTTTGCATGTCTAAATACAACTTTAATTTTCAAAGTACTATTATCACTTGAATAAATTTTTCACTTTTTCGGAATTTTACAATTCTTATGTACAAACGCCCACTTAGATTCGGCATAAAGAAAATTTTATTACTTTGACATGCGTACGGAGGGAGAATATTTGAAAAACACTTTGAGGAATTAAAAAAATAAAAAAATAAAGAATGATGGGTCATACTTCAACAGTTGATGTATCGTTAGTAAAATTTTTATGTATTACTATAAGCAAAATATAAGTACTCTCATTTCATTTTTTGTCTAACCTGCTTGATTTGAACACAAAATTTATGATAGTTAAAAAAACTTATGATCTAAAGAATGCCATATAATTTTTTGTGACTTTAAAATTATGTCACTAAGGATAAATAAGAATTTAAAATTAAATTATTTTTAAAACTAAAAATGTATTATAGTTTTTAGAACAAAGTAAAACATAGTGTTGCATAAAATTTAACGGTGAAATTACTCACACTTTTGTATCTGTTCAATTCATTTCATCCTTCCAATTTTCAAAAGCAGAAAGCAGGCCAGCGATGTCTATGATTCTCACTCATCACCAAAGGATATTAGTTTGGTGGCCGTAGTTATGGGTAATCATTATGTCACTCTTTATCCTATTAGTACTACTAGTCCTATTCCTATATATGAATTGATCATTATAATTTTAAATCTTAACTAACATTTATATTTAATCTCTATTTACACTCAATTATTTATAAATAAACAAGCCTCATTTTATTGATAAAAATAGACGAATCCCTAAATTGACACTAAATAAACAGGAAATGAAAATCACTAATGGCCATTGGCCTTATTACATTTTATAAAGCGAAAAGAAAAACTCCTATCTACTTGGTCCCAGAAGGACCTTCCCCAGATTCGGCATCCTTAGCACCGTCGAACAGCTTTCCCAACTCGCGAAGTCCCAGCAATAGGTAGGCCCTGGCTAGATAGGTTTCCCAGATACTTTCTGACGAGAGTCTGATCACTAGAGTGAAGATCTTTCCACCAGCTTAGCAGTCTTGGGTGGATGTTGCTGACCATGCCGAATCTAGGGACTTCGTGTCGCATTATCTTCAAAACAGAAAGGTTAGACCCTACCCCCACCAGACTCGACTATTTAATATCAACAATTAGCATGAAGCATTTAGTTCTCCAAATAAATGCACAGAACGTGATGATGTCCATTTGGGTTTAGGGCAACCTAGTGGACTTTTGGACAAGGCTATCTTAAAGGATCATTATGTGGACAACATAACTGACCCGGCTAGGTTTGACCATGATGCATGCACAGTTTAAATAGAGTAAGGTTTCTATGGGGTTTTAGACTGGTACCCTTGAGCGGACAACTCGAGGGGGAAGGCTCGGAACTGTCGACTGCACCGCTGATCGACTAGTTTTACCGCAAATATGCCTTTCCGAATTTAGGGGGTAATGATATAGGAAGAGCGCAACCACTCATTATAAGCGTTGCTATAGTATTTGTTTTGGCACGAGTGGAATATGATGTTGAGCATGATTGTGCAATAATTAAAAAGCATGTTGACATGTATTTGCTCATTAAGAAAGCGATAAATATAGCAGTTTCATAAATGTAAAGCAATAAAGAAAAGAAAACAAGGAAGATATGTCAGTTTCGTCTTTAAAAGGAGAAATTAAATGCTCAAAGGAATTAAACAAATAATTGCACATAGAGAGAGGTACAAATCCACAAGAACCATCTGCAATGGTAGAAGCCTAAAAATCCCCAGCAAAGTCGACATGCTGTCGCGCCCCCTTTTTCCCTCTTTGCATCAAAAAATCGGGTTTATAACATTTTGGGTATAGGACAACTCATTCCTTTCGGGAACTGGGTTTTGCATTTGAAGAGTCGCCACCTAATGATTTAAGGTGCATTAGGACACCTATAAGGTTCACTTCTAAGTTTGTTTGATAACCAGAGATAGGGTAAGGGCTTGAAATTATCCCGAGGGAAGGTGTTAGGCACCCCTCAGGATCCACTAGTGTGGTTCCTGGCCAGATAGTTCTTTGTGAATTTGTGCAATTAACAAGTAAACAAATAAGGCTCAAATAAGAGGGGATTTTAATACACAAGTGTTTGGAAGTGATGAAAGTAAAACAGAGTTTGCAAAGCAATCATCAAAGGGCTGATTTGAAAAGAAGTTACAATTCTATAAATATTTAAAGGAAAAGAAAGAGGAGGAGGAGGTCCTAGGTTTAGACTAGACTGGTTTCAGACGATGACATCTATTATTGCTGATTTTAAATCCTATAGACATGATATCTATTATTGCTGATTTTAATTTCTATAGACATGATAGCTAGTTGAACGTGAAATGAAGCAGGCAGGATTTACTTGAAATTCCTATAGGCATGATTTCTATGAAAAGGTACTGATTTTAGATGTCGGATCCTAAGAACATGGTGTCTAAGTGTGGTAATAAACATGCAGAACTTAAGACAAATCCTATAGGCATGTTGTCTAAATGCAGAATTTAAAACAGGTCCTATAGACATGTTCTCTAAATGCAGAGTTAAACATGCAAACTTTAAAGACAAGTCCTATAGGCATATTATCTAAATACTGAGTTAATCATACAAAAAAAACAGGTCCTAATTCTAGTAGTTAAGCATGCACAATTACCCAGTCCTTTTTCACTAACCAACCCCAAATATTTATTACAAATTATTACAGACCAAAATAATGAATTACATCAAAAAAAATGTAAAAAAAAAAGAAGAAGTTACAACCATAGGAAGCCTGATTTTGACTTCCTCTCTGAGTTAGGGAACAAAACACCTCAAAGGCCAACTTGTTTCAAAGCCTTTCTCAGACCTGGGTGTGTCAAAGTTCCCTAAAGGTCTCAAGGGACCCCGGGCAGTGCTTGCACCCAAGTTTGCATAACCAGATAGAGATGAGTGCGGTGTGGGAGGGCCAGCCCTTATGTGTCCAAGTTCAGAGGGAGCTCATGGGTCCCAAGGCAAGTCTCACACAAGAGGGGCAGAACTTAAATCTACGAATATAGTGGAAGTGCAGGAACAGAGATTTAAAACTGAGTGGAGAATAGAGAGGGGTAAGGGTGATTGGAAAATAGTAGTAGTACAGCTAACATTACACAGAATCAGCACTTTCATACAAAGGGGTCAGGGGTTTGGGAATTCATTGCAGGGAGTATATGACCTTAGGAAGGGGCCAGGTTTGGGCATGTACAGCAATAGATGGTGCTGGCATGCCCATATACCAGCTTGAGAACATAACACATAGAGGGGATATGAAGCATATGACCCTAAGGAGGGGTCAGGTTTGGGATCATGCACAGCAATGTCTAATGCTGACATGCCCCCAAACCAACCAAGGAATACAAACACATAGGGGATATGGGGGTTTGGGGTTCAAAAGTCATAATAAGTGACTGACAGAGTTCGTACATAAGAAAGCAGTAATTCAGAAGAGAAAAGGGCAGATTACAGTATGCTCAGTAATGGAACTTGATTAAACACAAGCAGGAAACAGGCAAGAGTGAGGGAAATAGTAAGGAAACATGTTGTTGTTGATGCTGGAAAATTAATTAGAACATACCAGTAAAGGAGCAAATGCAGAAAGAAAAGTAAGCAAATTCCCCACAGCCTAGCCTTGGCTTTCAGCCGGCTAGACAAGGCAGCAACACAAGTAGTAACAGAGAAAAGAGAGAGAGTTTTTAGTGAGGTGTGTGTTCTGAACTCAAGTGTTTTGTTCCTTGTGTTCGTGTGTTTGAAAGAAGAGGGTATGCAGGGTATTTAGTAGCCTTTTTAGAAAATGAGTGAAGGTAAC